TTAGTGGTACAATTTTTCTAAATACTCAGAATAATTTATTAAAAAGTGTGTCCAAGACTACCTAAATGCTTTCATAGTTATTATATTTTACACCTCATGTGATCACCATGCTAGTATTTTACATAATTTGTACTCTTACATCCTAAATAATTGTTTAATAAGTAGCCTATTCGATTCCCATAGTATACCAGTAAAAAATTTTTAACACCACCGTACAGCTAACAATAGTTTTATAGTTTGTAAGAGGGTCTAAAATAATTCTATGATCTAAAATAATCATACCTGAGAATGATAGTGTAAAAAGTAATTTGAATACATCTAAACACATAATATTGGTTAATGGAGTTCTCACTTAGTATACAGCGGTGCCAAAGGTTTGACATTTTTATAGGGTCTGTACATTTTCTATAGTAAGCTTTACACACACGTTTATCAAATAACTACAAGAAGGGAGGCCATTCTTTCCAACTTTATTTACCTCAGATCAACCTCTTATTGGGCATCCCTGTATGTAAAAGATAACGGAAAGAATGACATTAAATCTCGTCCATGCTTGAAGAAAGTATTTACGCAGCTCAAATCCAAATCTTGTTTCAACTTGAGTAAACTTAGGCACTCTTATGCCTGAGAGTACACTACATTCTTATTTACGTTAAAATTGAAACCAAAAATAAGCTACTAAACTCTATCATACAGTTCTAACAAAAGCAAAACTAAATTGGTTGTTATATAATAGTGAAAAAATGTATCAATTCATGTAACTGAAAAATATTTGAGCGGAAACAACTATTTGAAATGAAAATAAAATCAATTGCTTGGTTTACATTGGTTTTGTGAAATAATTTTACATCCACTTACTTATTAAATATTAAATATACAAGTAATGGAAAAATAGCTGACCTTAAACACAATGTTTACTATATTTAGAAGTTTGGATTTGAAGGAGCACAAAAATAGCATGTTGTGAGAGGAAATAAATAGCTTTTTAACACAAACATTTTCACTGAAACTCCTTTAAAACTCTTTTCTTGGATGTAGTCTTGTCATTTGCAGATGTACATAAAAAAATGCTTTACAGTAAATGCTGGATTCAACTCACTTCATAAGAGGCTTTTATAATTTCATAAAATAATTCCGAAAACCACGGATAGCAGTTTAAGTACGTTACCATGCATCTTATTATTAATTTCACAGTAAATAGTAATGTAATATTTATTCTGATAATCACGAGTAAACATACTTTATTTGACATATTCTGTGAAACATTGTAGCACCAAAAAGTAAAGTGGTATGTATAGTGGTGTGTATAGTGGTATAGTGTATAGTGTATATAGTGGTGGTATGTATGTAAGTGGTTTATAAGCAACTTAATACATAAATGGATCACTTTTCCAACATACACACAAATAGGTCTCAAAAATAGGTGTTTTGAATAACTTATAACAAATTTAGGTTTTCGTTTGAGTTTTAGTTTAAAAATTACACAGTTACAAATCTCTTTCTTACGATAGGCTACATACAAAGCACATTTAAAAACCGTACTTACATAAATTATATGCAGCATAAAAAATTTTGAAATAATTCACCTAAGTTCAAAGATGAATTTGTTTTCTCTGGTTAAATACTTCAAAGCTGTTTTGGTAAGAGGTGTGTAAAAATGGTTTTAAGAAGACAAATGAGAAACATACTTGATTTTAATCCTTGTTCCGTTTAGCTACAAACTTTATCGATAACAATGTTGGGTCTGGGGCGTATGTGGATGGCACATTTTCAATATTCACATTCCGAGCAGACAACTTTTTCAATAAAAGTTCCCGGGGCTAAATGTGGTAAGAACTTGACGGCCCTAATTCAAAGTGTTTAGGCCTAAATCTATTGTGTTCAACGCGTTTGATCTTCATTCAATTGGAATTTCGGTTTAACTTTAAGCCCTGTACATTGGAATAATTACTAAACGTGAAATAGTAGAACAAGTTACACAACTTTTATTTATAATATTCTGGTAAATAAATTAAACCCTTGGAAATTTTTGATACTTCACATATAGGTTCATGTAAAAATAACATGCTTTCAAAAATATTCATTTTTTAATTAGTTAATATTGAAACAACGCCCTAAAGATATAACAAGCAAAACAGTTTTTTTTTCTCGTTGACGTGATATTCTCACATGCTCTTAATTAGCTGTGTAAAACTAATAAACACACATTTTATGTTGAAATATTTGAAACATCGTTGAATTATTTTATCAAGTTTTTAAGTTATGCCAATGATATATATTTTTAAAAAATGTTAAAAATACAGCCAATGCCTTTAGTAGTGCTTTAGTTCAAAGAGGGCGTTTCGACTATTTATAGACGTAAACTCCAGTATTTTCTAAACTTGAGAATGACGGGAGGGCTTTTTTTTATGGCTCCATCTTTCATTGTCCAAGTCGTAATGTAATGGGTCGTAAAATCAGATTAGGAAAACGACACACGAAATCTCAGTGGCTGGAAACTTGACTTGTTTAATTGTTGGTAACAGCTGAAAAAAGTAATAATGAACTCATGACATATAGAGGATTTGCTCTAAAACATTGACAAATCAATTCAGTTTATTGTCTTTTTGATTTCTTTTATTTAAAATCTAGTTCATATTCAGCTTTAACGATGTAAAAATACACTTTTATAGAAAATATTTCTCAGAAAGAACATTTCAAATTAAGTTGTTTAAAATATTTTAAAGCCTCCTGACTGTATTTAAATTATTTTCTAAATAATTCAAATATTCTATTTATGGCCTATTTGCACATTAGGGTGTTCAAATAATCCTTATATATAACATATTCCATAATATACATAAACGAAAGTTGATTAAAATAGGTTTCCTATTTTCGAAAACAGTGGTTGAAACGGTATATCAAAAAGAATTGGAGACTAAGATAGCTAAAAACTACGTAATTTTAAAGCTTTATCAATCAGTTTTGTATTCTAAATTGATTTCCAAAGTATCTGGATTGGAAAAGTTTTGTAATCTCAACAATCTTTCATGTAACTTTGTAACGCTTAAGATTGTACTAAGTTCAAGAATTCTTTTGAGGTTTTTCTTCAGTCTTTAGTCTACTTAACTAACGATTTCCGAATTCATTACTAATCTGGACATTTAATCGTTCTTTAAATTGTAAAATGAGTTTCAAACTATGTTATATGTAATACAATACAATTGCTTGAAAACTTCCACTTTTATTAAATATTGATTTTTTTATTATTCAAAACATTAATTGTTACTACTGACTATTATGGAATATCGAAATGCACCATATTTGAACTCCATATTTGAACCATATTTGATGAGACCAAGTAAGTACTTAATAAACATTACAGTGACTCTTATTATCTAAGACGTAAATCTTGCCAGGGCCTGCCCAGTAATTTGATGGCTATCGCCGAACCTTTTAACTTAGTTGTATTTACACTTTGGCTGGTGAGAAAAATATCACATTTCACTATATTGCTAATTTGATAATCTAATTGTCTACAGCTAATAATTTTGTTAAATAGAGTCCCGTAAAAGAATTAACAAAGTTATCAAACACGAATATGCCTATAAATATAGAACGTTTTCCTTATCAAATATCGGCCTATTCCTGGTTTAATAACACGTATAAAACTAATTTAATTTATAAATCTGGATTTTAAGGGGTTCTAAATCATTAAATAGAATTACCTTCGTCCATCAGCTCATTGTTACGGTCGTTTCAGCATCTTCGTGCCATCATCAGACGTGAGTCAGCTACTTGGTCGAGTGCGGATATGTGTATTCAACAGACCTGCTTAGTTCAAATCCCCCGTTTATGTTTATGTATGTGTACGTCGCGTGTGACAGTTTGTGTTTTTGTATATTAACGACGCCACCAAGGCTGAACGTCTGATCTTCACGAAGCTGCTGAAACGGCCGTAACAATGTAAATACTACATTGAGCTGATTGACGAAGGTAATTCTATTTAATGATTTAGTCACAAGATCAGCTCAGGGGCTAAAAAATATGGATTTTAATTTAAGGGGTTCGCTAAAACTTTTAGCTTTGGGCTGTCCGTGCAAATATATGTATTTAGTGGTGGAACGTATCAAAGAATCCGAGACAGCTGTTACAGTATTAACAATGAGTGAACTGTAGTGACACATTTTTGCACCAAGACATGAACCAATTACATGCCTCGGTTTCACACTCTGTGGTCTTTGTGGCTTCTTACTGGCCCATCGACTCACCATAGCTTAGATCTTAGATTATGTGAGACAGTACAAAAATATGTTCCGTTGACCTCAACTACATATTCTTAAATTACCAATATTAAAACACAATTTTCCTCAAATAAAATATAGTTTATAATCCATAGCTTTTCTGGTGACACATCAGAGCAAAAAACAATTTTTTTATCATTTGATAATAACAAATAATCAACATAAATGTGATATTAAGCAGAACATGACGTATTGACATCAACCATTAACAAAATAAGAACTCTGTTAATCAAGGATTAACACTATTTTTTTTTCTTAATTGCAAAAGACATCTTTTCTCAAACTTGATACAGCAGCGTGTTCAAACAGGATGGTCAATTATCCGTCATTTATCAACGTTCATGATCCATACCGCTTTCGTTCTAATATCCGTGGGAAATCTGTAAATTTGACAAGACATGACATTTGGGTCATGAAAGACATCAAAATATAAAAAAATATTTTAATCAAATCAACTTAACTGTTTTAGCTCTCTAAATTGGGATAGTTAGATACATTTACAGTTTTCGGAATCCATTAACACTCTAACTTTTTAAATCAAATAATTGTGCTCTTAAACATGTTCCTCTTACTCTACACAGAGACTATTCATACGCTATAATTGAATTATTTAAATAAGAATGTAAAAAAAACAACAACGAACGAATCTTAGTCAAAGCTAACGTTCTCACTTTCATAGTTAGATAAATTTACACTCGAAACTCGACAATGTTTCAGATCGTAATATGTGTGTCAGTGACGATTGGACGCCCAGAGAGAGGGAGAGATGGGAGAGCTTTCAACCAACCAATCAGCGACAAGGAGATCATCGTCGACCTCGTGGACATGGACAAGAACCAATACTACGAACAAAACTTTACCACTAGTGAGTGTCAATGACACGTTAAATTTAATTCACTATCCAAAAATAACTATCTTAATCTCTGCAGGAAGTTTGGTTGCTAAAAACTATGTTCAACTAGTCTTGGTCCTTTTAATGTAAATTAGTGTTATATTAAATATATTTTACTATCCTATTTTACCATGTTTTTAATTCACTATCCGAAAATAACTAGTTTAATCTCTGCAGGAAGTTTGGTTGCTGAAAACTATGTTCAACTAGTCTTGGTACTTTTAATGTAAATTAGAGTTGTGTTAAATATATTTTAATCTGACATAACAGGATACAAAATTTCATAAAGGTATCTCAAATAGCTTTAGAAATAGTTTTAAAGGCACAACAAACAAAATGGTCCATTTTTAGAGAAACGCTTTTCTTGGTCTTTGGTTTATTTTGAGCCATTAAAACTATTCTTAAATTTTCGTACTTGCTTACGGGAAACCCTTTATATAAGAAACTGTATTTAAAATGCGATTTCTGAAAATCTATTAGAGTCTATATTTTTTATATAGAGTATTTATCTTTGTATTATATATTTTCAAAGATCTTTCCTGTAGTATAATCGTTCATAAGAGAGTTAACATTATTCAACTGTTTGGAAATAGATAAATCTTTATTACTACGGATCTTGAGGAATACATTTTGAACAAGACTTGTTTTTATTTTGCATGGTTCTTATAGGCAGTCTGATGCAACAGCTTACGCATTCAATATATATTTATAGAAAAAAACGAACCATTATTTGTTGATAAGCACATTAAAAATAGTGATTAGCTTTTAAAACCTTTAAACAAAATAATAGCATGGAAAATGGTTTTTGAGTGGAAAATCATTGACTGTATAAACATTTATAGATTATTAGGTACTGTATATTCCATTATGTTTGTCAATTATACTAAGAGTATTAAAGAGTAAATTTTGGCTATAGATTACTTGCATTGTCACATTATTAGTTTAAATGTGCATACAGATTGGTTTTAGTATTGAATATTTTTATGATTACCTACAAGTGTTTTCCTTAACAACTGAACAAGTTGTTTTTCTGTTTCAGTGGCGTACATATACGGTTATGAAGTTGGAAGAAACGGGCAGTTCCACCATGAAAATAAGGGACCAGACGGAGTTGTTTACGGATGCTACGGATTTGTCGATCCTCAGGGAAAGCTGAGAGCGACTCACTATGTCTCGGATGGCTGGGGATACCGAACTGTCTCCCCAGGGGATCCGGTGGAACTGTTCCTCCACGAACATGAACATCACACACAAAGCGATGACAGCAACGACGCGATAGAAACTACCGGAGGTCACGATCACCATCATGAAGGAGCCATCACTGACTGGGAAAAACTGTATTTTCCTCGAGGTTGTGGCTTTGGTGGTGGAAACGACACTGGATACAGACCGGGTATTGATGCAACCACGAATGCCAACTGCACTACCATTACAGTAGCCGTCCCGAGACCACCCCATCGGCCGATACATAGGCCTGAAGGTAGTATTCCTGGATTACCAGGACTTCATCATAATCACACAAACAGACCAGGGCTTCCCGGAATTCATAAACCAGAACATCCCGGACTTCCCGGAGTTCATGTTAATCAAACCCAAGGACCCAGTCATCCTGGGATCAACCGACCAGAGGGTCCTTTAATATCTGAAATCCATCAACCCGGACATCCAGGCCTACCTGGATTGCATCATAACCACTCATCAGGTTCTGGAATTCATCGACCAGAAGTCCCAACTCTTCCTGGAAGTGGAATTCTTCATCCTTCAGGGCATCCTGGACTACCTGGTCTTGAACATAATCATACTGGCGTACCTGGTATACATCGTCCTGGAGGACCGACTCTTCCTGGAAGTGGAATACTTCATCCACCAGGACATCCTGGACTATCTGGTCTTGAACATAATCATACTGGCGTACCTGGTATACATCGTCCTGGAGGACCGACTCTTCCTGGAAGTGGAATACTTCATCCACCAGGACATCCTGTACTACCCGGTCTTGAACATAATCATACTGGCGTACCTGGTATACATCGTCCTGGAGGACCAACTCTTCCTGGAAGTGGAATACTTCATCCACCAGGACATCCTGGATTACCTGGTCTTGAACATAATCATACTGGCGTACCTGGTATACATCGTCCTGGAGGACCGACTCTTCCTGGAAGTGGAATATTTCATCCACCAGGGCATCCTGGACTACCTGGTCTTGAACATAATCATACTAACGTACATGGTATACACCGTCCTGGAGGACCAACTCTTCCTGGAAGTGGAATACTTCATCCACCAGGACATCCTGGACTACCTGGTCTTGAACATAATCATACTGGCATACCTGGTATACATCGTCCTGGAGGACCAACTCTTCCTGGAAGTGGAATACTTCATCCACCAGGACATCCTGGACTACCTGGTCTTGAACATAATCATACTGGCGTACCTGGTATACATCGTCCTGGAGGACCAACTCTTCCTGGAAGTGGAATACTTCATCCACCAGGACATCCTGGATTACCTGGTCTTGAACATAATCATACTGGCGTAACTGGTATACATCGTCCCGGAGGACCAACCCTTCCTGGAAGTGGAATACTTCATCCGCCAGGACATCCTGGACTACCTGGCTTTGAACACAATCATACTAGTCTTCCTGGGATACACAGACCTGAAGAACCAGGAGTGGGTGGCTCAGTTTTTCCCGGGCTCCCAGGTCTTCACCACAACCACACAAATAGACCAGGTTTCCCTGGAATACATCGTCCTGGAGGACCAGGAATAAATCTTCCAGGACCTGGGCTACCTGATATACATCGACCTGGAATTCACCACAATCATACAAATCCGATTGGTCCTGGAGGAATCATAAATAGACCCCTCCTTCCAGGCCATAAGCCTGGAATAGTGGGAATTCTACCTGGACACCCACACCCTCAGCCAGGACTACCGCCAAAACCCGAATACCCATCCCCATCACAACCAGGAGAAACCCCCAATCCAGAGTATCCTATAGCAAAGCCAATAGGTCCAGGAGAATCACAAGAGACTATGCAACCAATGCCTATAGAGACTACAGGTACACGGCCAGATTGTTTTGATAAAAATGGGAATCCTGTAGCACCCCTGCCAACATACTGTCAACAATCTGGACAACATCCAAGACCACCACAGAGACCCGATTGTTATGACAAATATGGTAGACCAATTACACCTCAGCCCTCTTTTTGTCAAAATCCCTATCAACCAGCTGGAGGAAATAACCATCCTACTACAGAAACACCAAGCTACCCCAGTGGATTAGGACAACCTGGAATGCCTGGCTATCCCAGTGGATCAAGACCACCAGCACATCCAGGACAACAAGGGCAATCAGGACAGACAGGACAACCAGGGCAACCAGGACAATCAGGAATTCCTGGATATCCCGGTGAATCAGGACAGCCTGGTCAGCCAGGTCAAATAGGATACCCGAGTGGACCTGGACAGTCAAGTGGAACAGGACAACCCCAACAGCCCGTACAACCAGGACTACCTGGTCAACCAGGCTATCCAGAACAAGCAGGCTCTCAGGCAGGATCAGGGAAGCCTGGACAGCCAGGACAACCACAAACACCAAGCTACCCTGGTGGATCAGGGCAACCAGAACAGATTGGTCAAACAGGACAGCCTGGACGACCTGGAACACCTAGCTACCCAAGTGCATCAGGACAACCAGGTCCCCCAAGTGGATCAGAACAACCCAGTAGGCCAGGACATCCTGGAACCCCAGGCCAACCAAGTGGATCGGGACAATTCGGTCAGCCAGGACAACCAGGATCACCAGGTTACCCAAGTGGATCAGAACAACCAGGTCAGCCAGGACAGCCAGTAAAACCAGGGCAAACTGGAGCACCAGGCCACCCAAGTGGTTCAGAACATACCGCTCAGCCAGAACAGCCAGGACAAACTGGAACACCAGGCCATCCAAGTATATCAGGACAACCCGTTCAGCCAGGACATCCAGGACAACCTGGTTCACCAGGATACCCTAGTGGAATGGGACAACCGGGACAGACCGGACAACCTGAAACGCCAGGTCACCCAAGTGGATCTGGACAACCCGGTCAGCCAGAACAGCCAGTAACAACAATTTACCCAAGCGAATCAGGGCAACAAGGCTTACCAGGACATCCAGGACAGCCAGCAACACCAGGCTACCCTAATGGATCAGGACATCCCGGTCAGCCAGTACATCCAGGAAAACCCGGCCAACCTGGACAACCTGGAACACCTGGCTATCCAATTGAATCAGGACAACCTGGTCAGCCAGGACATCCAGGACAACCCGGACATCCAGGACAACCTGGAACGCCAGTATACCCTAGTGGAATGGGACAACCAGGACAGCCCGGACAACCTGAAACGCCAGTTTACCCAAGTGGAACTGGACAACCCGGTCAGCCAGGACAGCCAGGACAACCCGGAACACCAGGATACCCTATTGGAATGGGACAACCAGGACAGACCGGACAGCCTGAAACGCCAGATTACCCAAGTGGATCTGGACAACCCGGTCAGCCAGGACAACCCGGCCAACCTGGACAACCTGGAGAACCTGGAACACCTGTCTATCCAATTGGATCAGGACAACCTGGTCAGCCAGGACATCCAGGAAAACCCGGACATCCAGGACAACCTGGACAACCTGGAACGCCAGGATACCCTAGTGGAATGGGACAACCAGGGCAGCCCGGACAACCTGAAACGTCAGTTTACCCAAGCGGATCAGGGCAACAAGGACTTCCAGGGCAGCCAGGAAAACCAGGCCAACCTGGAACACCTGGTTACCCAAGTGAATCAGGACAACCAGAACAGCCCGGACAACCTAGTACACCAGGATACCCAAGTGGATCAGGACAACCAGGGCAGCCAGGACAACCAGGTAAACCAAGCTACCCAAGTGGATCAGGACAACCAGGTCAGCCAGGACAGCCAGGACAACCTGGTACACCAGGCTACCCAAGTGGATCAGGGCAGCCAGGACAACCAGGTTCACCAAGCTACCCAAGTGGATCAGGACAACCAGGTCATCCAGGACCGCACGGACAACCTGGTACACCAGGCTACCCAAGTGGATCAGGGCAGCCAGAACAACCTGGACATCCTGGACCAGGATTCCCGAGTGGATCAGGACAAACAGGATCGCCTGAACAACCTGGTACACCAGGCTACCCAAGTGGATCAGTGCAGCCAGGACAACCTGGACATCCTGGACCAGGGTACCCAAGTGGATCAGGACAACCAGGACAACCTGGACAAGGATTTCCAAGTGGATCAGGACAAACAGGATCACACGGACAATCTGGTACACCAGGCTACCCAAGCACATCAGGACAACCAGGACAACCTGGACCAGGATATCCAAGTGAATCAGGACAAACAGGACAGCCTGGTCAACCTGGACCAGGCTACCCAAGTGGATTGGGGCAACCAGGACAGCCCGGTCAACCTGGACCAGGATATCCAAGTGGATCAGGACAGCCAGGACAGCCCGGTCAACCTGGACCAGGATATCCAAGTGGATCAGGACAACCAGGACAGCCTGGTCAACCTGGACCAGGATATCCAAGTGGATCAGGACAAACAGGACAACCTGGTTCAGGATATCCAAGTGGATCAGGGCAACCAGGACAGCCCGGTCAACCTGGACTAGGATATCCAAGTGGATCAGGACAACCAGGACAGCCCGGTCAACCTGGACCAGGATACCCAAGTGGAGCAGGACAACCAGGACAGCCCGGTCAACCTGGACCAGGATATCCAAGTGGAGCAGGACAACCAGGACAACCTGGACCAGAATATCCAAGTGTATCAGGACAACCAGGACAATCTGGTTCAGGATATCCAAGTGGATCAGGACAAACAGGACAACCTGGTTCAGGATATCCAAGTGGATCAGGGCAAGCAGGACAGCCCGGTCAACCTGGACCAGGATACCCAAGTGGATCAGGACAACCAGGACAGCCCGGTCAACCTGGACCAGGATATCCAAGTGGATCAGGACAGCCAGGTCAATCAGGTTCGCCAGGTGGACAAACAATTCAACCAATACAACCAGGTCACCCCAATGGGCCTGTACAGCCTGGAGGACCTGGATATCCAAGTCAACCAGAACCAGAATACCCCTCGACTAGTCCACAACAGCCTCAGAAGCCTAGTGAGGGATCTCTTCCTCCATATCGTCCTCCTCAGCCGCCCGGAGTCGGATGCGTGGATTACACAGGCAGACCGATCTCCCCACCTCCACCGGGTTGTCCAAATCCTGGAGTTCCTACCTCGCTTCCGGGCAGTGAGTACAACTCAAATGTGTTTTGCAATTTTTATTTTAGTTTACATTTTTCCTGATTTTATTTTACAAACATAAATATTTTTTCTGTCACCACACTTAAGAAGATTTGTTTGAATATTGGTAACCAGTAAAAATAGACAAAACTAAGAATATTTGCTTTTGAAGTCACAATATCTTTTTCACCTCACTATTTAGTTTAAATGGGTTTTCTATGCAAGGATTAAGGCCGAAAAAGCAAATGGGATTTCATTACGTACTACCTACCTTTCACTAATATCCAAAAGTAAATCGGGCTACTGTACGGTAACGGGTTTTGTGAGACACCAGTTGATCATAATTAACAATTTAAACTTAAATATTTAAAACTTAATTTATTATCCTGTAAACAAAAGTAGTTATCAACGTAACAAAATGGTCACTTAACTTAATTCGGTTGCTATTTGTAAATGTTATACACAAAAAAATATTTGATACCAAGTAGTCTGATTAGTACAAAATGGTATAAGGGGTTACCGGTTATATGGAAACATACCCTACCAGAGAAGTATTGTGTAGTGATTATCAAGATCTCAAATCGGTAGGATCATGGTGGGATATGAACGTTGTTTTTTTTGTTCGTTTAGTTTAGTATGGTCATTTGTCCAAATTGTGTTTACTGTACTCTTATAATAATCACAACCACTTAAATAAGAATACCCACTCGTCCAGTAAACACCCTTTTTCCAGACTAGTACCGTGATATACTATTATGAATGGGATGATTTAATTGTTGGGATTGTTATGGATGGGATAGTAACTCTTTATGAGCGTTTGGTTAAAGTAATGAGTCATAAAAAGTATAAAAATATCGATAGTACATACTAAGTGAGGATTGTTTGTTTCAGCTTACCCCAGTGGGCACGGATACCCGAGCTACCCAGGCTACCCAGGCTACCCAGGCTACCCAGGCTACCAAGGCTACCCAGGATACCCAGGATACCCCGGATATCCAGCTCCTCCAGTCTACATCATCCCCTACCCTCTACCTCTACCTAGTCTGCCTAGTCCTAGCTCGTGTCCTTGCTACCTCGTCACTCCCAACGTAACGAACTCCTCTAGCCCGACTCCTCCTACCACAACACCACCTCCACTGGCACCTCAGACCCCAGCCTACGGCGTCATCGGCTACATTCCAGTCGTCTTCTACCCCTACTGCCCAGGAGGTCAGACCGCTCCTCCGTCGTTCCCTGCCGTCTTCTCCGTCCCGTACCCTTGCAGTCAGTGTGGAGGTCCCAGAGGTGCTCGCGCTTTGAACTCCACTTCTTCGCTTGCGGAAGTCCTCAAACAGCTTCCAGAGTCGACGACGATTGCCAGGATGCCCCATAGGAGACGAGCAAGAGTCACGAAGTTTGGCGCCCGGTTGAGACCAGCCGAAAATGAAGTGTAAAGAAAGATATGTTTAGTAATTGACCATTGAAGACACTTACTTAAGTAGTATAAGTTTACTCTTGTCGTCATTACACAACTATCGTTGTAAATGCAATGCAAGGAAACCATAAAAAACGAGAAATACTCCAAAAAATATTAGTCACTAAAAGGAGTATGGCTCATTTGATTTGACTCGATTAACCAGGGTTTGAACTTTGTTTAATTAAACTCTCATATCATAAAACCCTAAACCTCAAATTATATACGCAAGAAAGCCTACTTCAGTACCTGCAGTCAATGGTCTTTATTATGAAAGGTATTGATAGCTTAACAAAGCGGTGAATTAAGTTGGTACTTAACTTATGTAAGTAATTATAAATACATAAGACTTTTAGTGTAATAAACTAAGCGACCTGTCCACGAGTTACATCATAAAGCTGTTTAACAGTTTGGCTTACAAACATGATAATTTAAATCTATTTATTTGTTCATTACTTAAAACCTTCAATAAGATACAATCGTTTAACGATTGGATAGCATTTTTGTCAATTGTTACCTAGGAAAGTTTACTTTTTGCGGATTTGATGCACTTTTGTTTAATCAGTTATTAAATAGAGGTGCATAAGAATGTTGTAGGTTATTTAAAATCATAATTTAGAATTAGATTGACATTCAAGGATTTTGTTTATTTTATCTATTTCAGTACGAAGAAAATGTATATTTAAAAATAATTAAAATGACGCAACTCCTAGACGGTTTGCTAAAATATTTATTCAAAGCTGATTGCAACAGCTTAAAAAACTTGCTTTGAAAGATGCTCGGGTGTTTTAAAAACACAAAGTGTTTTTCAGTAAAAAAATTAAGATATATATTAATTATGTCAAATATTTTAAGTTATTGGTAGTCTTATTTTGTAATTTTATACTAAATAAATTATTTTCCAATTTTGTAAGAGTGTTTTACATTATTTGTATTTCCAAGTTGTTAAATTATGTCTGCATCCATTACTTCCTTTAAAATAATTTATTTAAAACTCCAAAGAATGTCAATTAAACTACCACATACTCAAAAGTGGAAATTTGTACGTTTACTATTTAACTTAAAAAGCATACGAATTTCAACCCAATACACTAAAAGCTAAGATCAAAGACATTTTTATTTGCAAGGCTGCACTGGTGTCTGCAAATGATTTCCATTTGAAGAAATTAAACAGGAACTAAGCAAAACTATTATTTGTGTGTATGCTTTTTGTGAAAATGTTTCGATAGCTAAGACTTCAAAGTAAATGTTGTAATGAAGGGATCACGGAAAATGAATTACCCACTCGCTGCTATTGACAACTATACCCAGGAATGTATCTGGCTTAAAAATATACCATTGTTTCTCACTATTCCTAATCATCAATAAGTTATAAAACAACTTTATTGAATAAAAATTATGTATAACAAACTCGTAAAATGAAATCACTGGTTAATGTGCTATTAAATATTAACTCTTATAAAATATATTAAAATTATTGAGGGAATAATAAAACTTATTTGTAACCCTTGAAGCCTGTAACGTAAAAATATATATTTATTATCCATAGCATTTGTAAGCGTGTCTCATTGTAAATTTACAAGGGTCGACAGACAAGACGATGAAATATTTCTATATAAGAGTTTATAAAAGCCAAGAATGCGAAAACTTAAAACGCTTAACTCCATCCAAGAGCTGACATCTCTAAGAACCTAAAGAACTGTACGGTCCAGAGAGCAGGGCCCTTACTTTATTAAAGTGTTTCCTTTTTTTAACTCTTTCTAAAAATAATCCACGTGTATTCTAGTTGAGTGAATGATCAGCGAATTCACAGAGATCAAATTGTGTAAGCTTAAATTTTAATATTATTTGTATTTAAATAACTATAAAGCAACAAATATACCCTCACCACAGCCAACCTGCATGCTAATTAAATTTGCATTTGCCTGATTGTATTTTTACCCAAATATCTCATTATGGTTTCATATATACTCCCTATATAAAACAATTTAATTTGATTGAGTAGTTAGGATTGATGCTCTATTGAAACTTATGTGTGTAAAAAAATGCCCTTAGTTTGTTATGAAATGAATACAACTTTCAACTTCTTCCAAAATACGTTCATAAACAAGCGAACTACGACCGTTTATTTACTCTTCTAAAGAAGAACATTGGACTTAAAGATATAAATTGGCTATTTTAAAACTCAATTTTTAGCAATTAGTTTAAGATCGACATCGAAGTTGTCTGTAATGTTATCTTGCGTTTTGGTTTAATCTTGTTCGTGTTACTCTGAGTGCTTTGTAATTTTAATGAGTCTGCCAAGTACTATTTTAACAGAAACACATTTATAGCAGCTGAATGTGCTATTTCTAAATTAATTGACCATAATATGGTTACCGTTGTAATAACATTAAAACATACAAGTAAATGGATTTCTAGAATTCATATTAAAATATATTACGTTTATATACATCTAGTGTACGTGGTGTTGTTTTGTTGGTTCGTGTGGTTTAGTTAGTAATGTAGTTTGTGGCCATTTAACAATAAACATGCAAAATTGTTATTATTTTAATAAATAATCCAGTCTCGCAGCAAGCTTTTTGACTAGAATTAATAAAAAAATTTGAAGGTTTGTGTGTTTGTTTGTATGTTTGTTTGTTTGTTTGAAGTTCAATCACGCATTAACTATTGGTCGGGTTGAGCTGAAATTTGGTATAATGATAGCTAACATTCCCGATTAACATATAGACATAGTCTTATCTCAAAAATACTTATACTTTTATACTTTATACTTTACAATGAAATGGCGACCATACAAAGTAGGTATTAAATCCTTTCGGGCTCAGTCCCAGTGGCTCTGGAGTTTACCATGTTAACCTTATGAGTATTCGTATTTAAAAGGAATTTTGTCAGCTGTTTCAACTACACAAGCTGGTTCTATGATATTCAATAACATTAAAAAGTTTAAGGTCTAACAACAGGGTGCAACACTATTTTTTTGGCATTTATGACAGCAGCTAATTAGAACCAAACAGAATCAAAAAGATGTGATACACATTGACGAAATTACTTTTTCCTATTGTTTAGGTGCTGTGGTAGACCATTATGGCTATGGTAGATGTGCTATACCAAGTGCGGCCTTGGGTGTACTATAACTAACTATAGTACACCGTAAATTAAAAGAACCGTGTCCTGTCCCATTGCAAATGCGAAGCACGAGTATACGTCTTAACTGCAATAAGAATGTTATACTTATACGCCAACCGCGTACGAAGGACGGGTACTACGCTAGTGCTGAATAAAATAACTAAAATTCCTATCACTTTTTCAGATATTTTGTTAACGGTTTGATTTAACGAAGTTGTCCACCAAATGCATGATAAGTATAAACATTACCGGTTTGATAGGTAATTTGATGTGCTGTTACATGCTTGGAGCAGTGTTTCAAACGCCTATAAATGAGTAGAAAAGTCTAAAGATAACCAGTAAAAAAATGTTTACTTATTATATACCCTGTCAATTAGAATTAAAACTGGCTGGAAAACTGGGTTATAGTGCTCACCTAACAATCGAAAGGTTGCTGGATCGATCTTGAGAAAAGTCATTATATTTTTATGGTTCCAAACTAGACTCAGCAGTCTTGATCATTGGGCTTAAAATACATTATCCTGGGTAATTAAATATCTGACCTTAGTCGCAACAAAACTACACAGATCATCACACTCCATTCTACACTTTTCACTCATAGATGGGTTAAAATACGAACCTACGTGGTGTCCCCATCTAGAAATTGATAATAAATCAGGAATTAACGTTCTCTTATGTTTTTCTTTGTCTAGCATTTATCGTGCCTGTAACCAACTGGCGTACCTAAAAGTCCTAAATTATGTTCTGTTCTAAGCATTACTTCTTTTTTTAGTTTAATATTTATTGTTTAAGTTATCTAAAGAAAAAACACGAAAAAGTATTTATGGTTACTATTAATATTGCAACCAAATCCAAAACTTAATAAATGTACAATTTAACTTATATTTTATTTTTTTATTTGAAGTTGGTTATTGCATCTTTATTTTTCAGCATTGAAGAGCGACACCTTAATAATCAACTAGCTATTGATTGTCTAATATATTATAATTTAATTTAAACTAGAGGTCGTCCAGTGGTCGAAACTCGACCAAAAATATTTAATGTACAGACTTCTTTATTTTCATTCCACACTTTGAATAGAACATGTGATTGGAGTTTCTTCCATTTGTTTTGATTTTCTGTTTATATTTCGTTGTTATTTCGTCACCAGCATGGCAACTCATAATATCCATGTTAAATTTTTCAAAATTTTTAATTCATTTTTTGTGCTTATTTTTGAGCCTATTTTAATTTATAAAGGGATTCTGCACACCTACAGGAAAATAGCTTTCTAACAGTATGCGTAGATTTTCCCTACGATGCACACGAGCTGAGAAAAAAGGTTTTAAAGAAACATGCTTGCCTATTAATATATAGATAGATCACCTATATTTGGTAAACAATAAAAAAGGATGGTATTCAATAAGGGATGAATTAAAATGATAAACTATAGTGGCCGACCTTGAGAAAAAGATGCTGTGACTTTGCTTATTATAAAAAGCAAAATAACCCCACATTTTTCTCCAGGGCGGCCACTCTTTACTTAAATGTCTGCCGACTGACCTGTATGTTTAATTAATAAAGTACTAGTGTACCTGTTGCTCGAATTCGAGCAATTGCGAAGCATTACATGCGTTATTTTAAAACGAATAACGGTCATAATTTCCGATGATTTCATAAAAGTCGACTCAAAGATTATGGAAATACTCACAATGTGCACAACAGTTAGATATATTCAAAATTGTTTGTAAATATCTTATCTTTTTTCAAAAGCTGATCCTGTTTTTTAGAGTTTTCTACAAATGTTTCCCACTCATAGCCGCATTAGGTTCTCTATAATAACGATTATAAATAAAGAAATAAAACATTATTTCTATTTCTTCTACTGTACTTGGTTGTGTTCTATGACTTTCCTGTTTCCATTGTTTGAAAATCGGCTCTTTCAATTATGTCTCAAGAAATTAATGTAGCACAGTGTTAATTCAGTTTTATTTTTAGTATATCAAATCGTCCAGTATTTCTCACTTTTTTCCATTGTAATTTTTAAAATTACACCAACCAAGTATCGTCTACTACAGATGCAATACGCCAAAGAAAATCGTCTACGTGTAATCTCCAAGAAGTAGTAAAAAGGCAGAAACCAACCCATACAATAGATATAAGTTAACTCCACAAGAAATAATTTTAAGAGTTACTGTGATATTAGGATTTTCCACTGATTTGGTAATAGAACATTATATTGCAAAACATGACACGATTCAGAAGAAAATCGATTTAAAAACAGAAAAAACCATTGCAAATAATTAATTTTGACAAATTTAGTAAATCACAATTTAAATATTAACAGCTGTTTCATTCAAAAGTAGTGTAAATGTATGCATATGGTCGTAATGTAAACACATCTGAAGAGGAAACTTTAAAGGCCTCTGGGGCAGAGCCCCAAGGGAATTTACCTTGTTTCTCTTTTGATGGCTCATCTACAGACTAAGACCTCTCTTTAGAGACCCCTACCAAGTTTCTACGCCCAGCCTTTCTCTGTAATTAGCTGTGACAAAACCCCGTTTTTCCTCCATAAGAATAACATGGGATGGGAACTTAAAGGCCACTGGGGCAGAGCCCCAAAGGAATTTACAACGTTTCTCTTTTGATGGCTCATCTACAGACCAAGACCTTTCTTTAGAGACCCCTACCGAGTTTATACACCCAGCCGTCCTCTCAAATTAGCTGTCACAAAGAAAAACAGTTTCAAAT